GGCGGGAAACTCACATAGTTGAGTTAATAATATATAGATTACAAATGGGGAGGGCCCCCGAACCAAGACCCGCTCATAAGAGGCATACAATACAAGCAAAATAAGTGAATGAAAATATTAAAGGGCTAGACCTGACCCAATATAAGCAACCATAGAGAATTTAAACAAACAAAAAATACATCAACGGAAATCAATAATGCCAAAATAATCCAAGTAAAAGAATTTTCTAGCTAGAGTAGGCAGAGAGTTTTTTTTGTGAGATAGCTAGTTAGCTAGTAAATTTTTTGAAAGAAAGGAATTCAATTACTGTTAATAATATCAGAGTTTATAGTAGAAACAACAAATTCAGGAGCATGACATAACCAAGACTGACCATCAGACATAGAACACGCAACTTGTGGCAAAGCATGAGCCGCCCTGTTCGCTGACCGTCTAATATGAGAAAAAATCACATTTAAAAGAAAAGATGTCAATTCTCTTATATCAGCTGCCACCATTCTTGCTATAGAAACACTCCCTGCCGAACCCAACTAAGAGCTTCTCTGATCCCGACTAGCTCAGCCTCCCAAACATTTAATTTTCCAGGCCACCACTTTGTTGCCCCTGCAACAAACAACCCCCTTTCATCCCTTAAAATCCAGCCATTTCCCCTTACCGCAGCATCCACGTTTGTTGGAAATAAGTGAAGGAAGATTTGGGAAATTGGGAGGCTAAATTAGAAATATTATGGAAGAGATATTTGAACAAAGGGGAAGAACTCTTTTTATTAGAACAACTCAATTTACTTGATTTGCTTGATACAAAGTGGGGGTAGGAGACCTCTATTTATACTAGCACAAAGATATCTAGAATCTTCTACAATTAATACATTCTACACAATTCTACTCAATTAATTATAGGAAAATTCTAGACCACATCTTCTAGAGAAACTCTAGAATTTATTCCTTCTACATTTTTCTATCACTTGGGCCTTCCCAACAACAACTAAAACTAAATATTAATTAGGCCCAAAAACAAGTTTAATTTTCAACATCCCCCCTTAAACTTGTTTTAACTCCGAGCATGGTCCTCAACCTTCGAAAATCTTCGTGCTTGAGCGGCTTCGTGAAAATGTCGGCGATTTGATCATGAGACCTTACATACCTTACTTCAACCTCTTTTCTTTCAATGCATTCTCGAATGTAGTGATAGCGGGTATCAATGTGCTTGCTACGATCATAGAATACCGGATTCTTTCCCAATGCTATTGCCGACTTATTATCCACATATATCTCCGTAGCTTCCTTTTGTGGCATGCCTATTTCCTTGAATAGATTTCGAAGCCATATAGCATGACAAACACATGAATTGGCGGCAACATATTCAGCTTCACACGTGGAGAGGGTCACAATGGGTTGCTTCTTTGAACTCCAAGTAAAAGCCGTATTACCCAAAAGAAAGACAAATCCGGTGGTACTCTTGTGATCATCAACGTCTCCGGCCCAATCACTATCACTATACCCAACAAGCTTGAAATTTTTACAAGAATTGTAAAACAAGCCAAAGTTAAGAGTACCTTTGATGTAGCGAAGAATTCTCTTGGCAGCCTTCCAATGAGAGGTTCTTGGATCTTCCATATACCGGCTAATGAGACCAACTCCGTACAAAATGTCGGGCCTTGTACAAGTCAAGTATCGTAAGCTCCCAACTAAGCTCTTGAACATTGTGGGCTCCACTTTTTCTTCATCACCAACTTAGATAATTTTACACCACAATCCACCGGGGTATTGATTGGATTACAATCATCCATTTTAAACTTTTCAAGGATTTTCTTTGCATATCCTTCTTGACCGATAAAGATTCCACTTTCCCTTTGTTTCACCTCAATTCCCAAATAATAAGACATTAAGCCCATATTGGTCATTTCAAATTCTTGACTCATTGCCTTTTTGAAATTCTCAAATAAATTGGGATTATTTCCCGTGAATATTAGATCATCAACATAAAGGCAAACAATCAAGATATCTCCATTTCCCTCCTTTTTGACATAAAGAGCATGTTCATGGGGACATTTTATGAAATTATTTGCTTGGAAATACTTATCAATTCTAGTATCCCAAGCTCTTGGGGCTTGCTTCAAACCATAAAGTGCCTTTTTCAACTTTAGAACTTTATCTTCATGCCCTTTTATTTTATATCCCGGTGGTTGTTCTAAATAAACTTCTTCTTCTAACTTTCCATTTAAAAATGCGGACTTCACATCCATTTGAAAAATTTTCCATTTATTTTGAGCCGCCAAAGAAATTAAAAATCTTATTGTTTCCAAGCGGGCAACGGGAGCAAATACCTCTTCATAGTCGATACCGACTCTTTGGTTGTACCCTTTTGCAACCAACCTTGCTTTGTACCTTTCAACTTCCCCCATGGCATTCTTCTTTTCTTTAAACACCCATTTTGCACCAATTGCTTTGTGTCCTTTGGGTAAAGTGGTCAATTCCCACGTATCATTTTTTATGATGGCCTTCATTTCTTCATCCATGGCTTCCCTCCAATTCTTGTCGTTAGTCGCTTCCTCAAAACCTATTGGTTCACAATCGGCAAGAAGACAAAATAATGTTAGATCATTTATATTTTCGGTTACCTCATATAGCTCTTGTATGCTCCTTAAGCGAGGCGGCCCTTCATTTGAGTTGTCTTCACTTGTGGATCCTTCTTGCTCGGGTGATGGTGGAGTTGGACTCGTGGGCTCTTCATTGGCTAGCTCTTGCTCATCTTCTTCTTCATTGTAGTAAGGCAAGAAATTGTAGTCTTCTTCCTTTTGAGTCCAATCTCAAGTGTTCTCTTCATCAAACTCAACATCGCGGCTAACCACAATTTTTCCATTGCTTGGATTGTATAACTTGTACCCCTTTGCTCTTGCATCGTATCCAATAAAGATAAACTTCTCACTTTTGTCATCCAATTTGCTTCTTTTTTGATCCGGCACATGAGCGTAATCAATACTCCCAAAAACTTTCAAGTGGGCAATTCCGGGCTTTCTTCCACTCCATGCTTCTTCGGGGGTTTTGTTCCAAACACTTCTAGAAGGAGATCGGTTTGACAAATAAACCGCACAATCCACGGCTTCGGCCCAAAATTCCCTTGGAACATTTTTGCTTTTAAGCATGCTTCGAACCATATTAAGAAAGGATCGATTTTTCCTTTCAACAACTCCATTTTGTTGTGGAGTATATGGAGCCGTTAAGGGGCGATGAATACCATTTTCTTCACAAAAATTTTCAAAGTCTTTTGAAGTGAATTCCCCCCACGATCGGATCTCATGGATTTTATTTTAAACCCGCTTTCATTTTCAACATGAGCTTTAAATTTCTTGAAGGCCCCAAAAACGTCGGATTTATGTTTTAGAAAATAAACCCAAGTTTTCCGACTAAAATCATCAATGAAAAGAGCAAAATAATTACTATTTCCGAGAGAGCTTGGTTTAATTGACCCACATATATCCGTGTGTACAAGCTCTAATGGTTGTTTTGCTCTGCTTGCTTTGGAAAACTTTTTCTTGGTTGCTTTCCAAATAAACATCCTTCACACAATTGATTAGCTTCATTGATTTTGGGCAAACCCTTCACCATACCTTTATCACTCAACAATTTTAAACCTCCAAAATTAAGATGCCCAAACCTCAAGTGCCAAATCCAAGATGAATTTTTAAAACATGCTTTCAAACATTTTGGACCCCCATTATCAATGTTTAATGAAAACATTCTATTTCTTGACATTGGTACTTTAGCAACCAAACCCCCATTTTTATCTCTCATCAAAAGGGTGTGATCTTTCATATGAATGTCATATCCCTTTTCTAAAAGTTGCCCCAAACTTAAAATGTTGTATTTCATGTTGGGCACATAGTAGACGTTAGAGATGAAATCATTTTTTCCATTTTTTAACCGGATTAAAATTTTCCCCTTTCCTTTTACTGGGATTTTTGATTCATCTCCAAAGTAGATATTTCCGCTTACCGATTCATCAAGCTCGACAAACATATCTTTCTTCCCGCACATGTGGTTGCTTGCTCCCGTATCTAAGTACCATGTCGTTTTGGTGTCACTTTCTCCTCCTTTATGGGCCATCAGCAATGTTGAATTTTCTACTTCTTCTTTGGCAAGATTTGTTCGCTCCTCAACTTTATTTTTTGCCAATCTACAATCGAAGGCAAAGTGACCAAATTTTTGACAATTATAACATTGAACTTGATACTTATCATACCTTGGGCCATCAACTTTATTTTTGACAACTTTATTTCCATGATTTTGACATTTTTGACAAATGATGACATTTTTGCATCTAAAAATGTCATGTTGTAATCTCAAAAATGACATGTTTTTACATCTAAAAATGTCATGTTGTAATCTAAAAAATGACATGTTTTTGCATCTAAAATGTCATGTTTTTTCTTCGACGTTAACATGTCATTTTCGAGTAAAGTGACAAACAGGTCAAAACTGTCATCATAACAAATGCAATGCCATAAAATTGTCGAGGAGAATTGCAAGGAGAACTGCGAGGAGAAGAAAGCAGAGGGGGGAGGGGAAGAAGAAGAAGAAGAACAAGAAAAAGAAGAAGAAAGAAGAAGAAAAAGAAGAAGAAGAAAAGAAGAGGAAGAGGAAACAGAAGGAAACAGAAGGAAGAGAAGAGGAAGAATATCTGATTTTGCCGGAGAGAAGAGGTGACGGTCGGCGGCGGTTGAGTTGCGATCGAAATCTGTCAAGCTGTTACATGGCAGTTGCGTCAGAAACAGAGGGCTGAATCGCAGGTGTAGGATCGATGACAGAGGGATTGGGGAAAGGTGATTTTGGTATTAAGGGTAAAAATGTAATCTGAAATCCTATTTAAGCAATTTAAAACTTAAAATCTTATTTTGGAGTTTTAACCGTGTTTTAGTCCCATTTAGGATAATTCCACTTATAAATTTCTTACATGGTAAAAAAGAATACTTCCAGGTCAGTATATGCGTGCAAAGAAAGCAGAAAAAAACTTTATAATTCCATCACCTCCCATGTCTCTTACCTTTCTCATCATCTTCCTCCTCAGCCCGGCAATGGCTGCAGCCGTGGAGCTCAGGCTAGGATACTACTCTAAGACTTGCCCAAAAGCAGAAGTTATAGTCAGGAGTGTGATCGCCAAGAATATGGAAAGAGAAGCCAGAAGCGCAGCCTCAGTCAGTCATGCGTCTACAATTCCAAGAGATGCTACTGTCCTGGTACTGTCCGCAAGAGATGGTACTGTCCTGGTAATTAATTAATTAATAATCAAACTTCATTTTTAACTAGGTTCTAGCTCTTTGGAACTTGGAACCTACCAGTTACTGAAACATCATTGGATTGGAAGGAGGAGAGCAATTTGGGGATGAATAAAAGAAAACCTACTACTCAATCAGTTTATCCAGACATCAATTTGTTGGTATTCATGCTGTAGATTTAAACAGACTCAAAATTAATGAAGCTATATGTATTAGAAGAAGAAAAAATCATACTGCCTCCGCCCCAATTTGATTGTCCTAGTTCATATTCAATTGGTCAACACAAATCACTCTTAATTACTTATTTTTTATATCAAGTTTTTATCAAATTTGATCGTTGTTTTTGCGACTTTGTAAAACTTTTAATGTAGTTTCTGAATATGTAGATTTTATTTTCTACAAATAATGTGAGTGAGGACTGGGTTTCATTTGCTTTATAGTCGGTCAAGCCTCGTAAACCGCAACAGGACCATCAAATTGAGACTGAGGGAGTACATCATTTTTTTCATACATCATTTATGCGTAGTAAAACAGACCGAACATGAGAAAATAACTTTCTTAACCCTTTGTTGTTCTTTTCCTAGCATACTTTTAGATTCAGAAATACACTTAGTCTCTAAAATAGAAAAAAGAATCATATTGTATCTTCACGGTAACAACTAATATAAACCAAGCCTAAATAAATGCACGTCTCTCCGGTCTTGATAGCTCCAACAGCAAGTATACAAATATTCTAGTGGTAGCTTTGTTTCATTGGAGTGTTAGTTAAACAGCATGAGTCTTAAGGCCCAAAATGCATTTACTAATAGTTCCACAGTTTTCGGGGCACAATGGGAAGAACTCTAGTAATATCTAGGCCATGTATAGTTCGATTGTTCTGTTTTCTTATTCCAACTCCAGTTTTGTATGATACGATATTTTGGTTTCCATATTGCATAGAAAAATGTAGCAATTTCCCAGCTCCATTTGCATTTGACTATTTGCTTCACCAGGTGGGTAACTAAACCGGCATGTTTCTGTTTTGGAAAATAGAAAACTTCGGAAAATAGTGCAACTAGACCGGCATGTTTCTGTTTCTAAAAATAGGAAGAGTATGCAACAAAGCATGTTTTGAGTTTTTCTAAATCCCTTTTCCTGCTTGCTGGAAATAGAATAATAATAGGTTCCCTATGAAAAAGAAAACAATAAAGATTTGGCTGTCATGACGCACAGAGTGGAGGGCCAATGTGGAATGTAAAGCTGGGAAGGGTGGACAGCTTAACAGCAAGGCAACAAGACTCAGACAGCATCATGCCAAGCCCAAGGTCAAACTCAACCCACCTCATTGATCTTTTCAGCAGATTCAATCTCTCTGTGAAAGATCTAGTGGCACTTTCAGGTTCTCATTCCATTGGCAAAGGAAGATGCTTTTCAATCGTTTTCCGGCTATACAACCAATCCGGTTCAGGGAAACCTGACCCAACCATGGAGCCAAAATTCAGAGCCAGGCTGCAAAAGCTATGCCCACCTGCAGGCGGTGATGGGAATGTAACAGGAGACTTGGATGCCACGGGTGTGGTATTTGACAATCAATACTTCAAGGACTTGGTCGAAGGGAGAGGTTTTCTAAACTCGGACCAAAGCCTCTTCACCACCCCCCAGACCAGGGGTTACGTCATGGAATTTAGCCAAGACCAAAACGAGTTCTTCAACGCATTCGTTGAAGGTATGATAAAAATGGGCGACCTGCAATCACGTCGCCCTGGAAAGATCAGAAGAAACTGCAGGGTGGTAAATACATAGCTACCATATTGAAATGATAATATATGGTCATTCTTCTTCTGACTTCTGTTTACAAAGTACTACGGAGTGGTATGTATTATCACTATTGCTATAGAATATTTAACTATATTCTATTACAAATTAATAAATTTTGTATTTGTTGGTCCAAAATTGGACGCTCGTAGACTTTTAGGAAAGCTACGTACGACACTCAAGCAGGAATTATGAAAGCAAGAACGAGAATGGAAAGTAGCTATGAGATTTAGTTGCCAGAAATAACATATAGAAATTGCCTCTCATAATCCGAATTACAACCCGCCTTTTATAGGCGTATACAAATCGTAACCGCTACTGATCATAATGACTAATTAATTATAACATTAATACGGAATTAAATACATAATTAATAGTGCATTAATTGTTTGACCGTTACTCTTCTGGGCTGGGAGGTCAGCCGAACTGGTAGACTCCCCGCTGGGCTGGCAGGCAGGCTCCAGGTTGTGGACTTGGATCCACGGGTCCAAGTTCGGGGCTTGGGCTGATTAGGCTCCGGGCCTAGTCCCATTACTCCATCAGTATCCATTCATCTCTAATCAATTAATAAGTTGATTGATTATCTGTATGTAAAAGAATAGATGATGAATGAATAATCTTAAAGTCATTCAAAAGGAAATGCAAACGTTGAGCTTCACAAGCTGCATTTGCAGTAGCCCTATACTCAGATTCAGTAGATGATCTACTAAATAATGGTTGCTTCTTTTATTCCCAAGAAATTAAAGAATTTCCTGAGTAAAAACAATACCGAGAAATACTTTTACGAGTGCCTACACATCCCCGCCTAGTCAAAATTTGGGTAGCCTCAAAGAATAAAATCAGTGATGCAGAATAAAACAGCTTTTAGCAAGAGTACTTTTAAGATATCTATTTTTTTGGCATTAGATATCTAAGTTTGTGTTAGTCCCAATATCAATCAACAATCATACAAACAATATAACGAGTACAGAAGAAACGATGATCCGATTCAATACCAAAAAAGATGTCGAAATACAGAATAGGGTATGAAGTATGAACGACGTTTTTCTCCCTTCTCACTAAAAATGATATCTGCGTTGAGGCTTATCTGAGAGTTAGGGTTTGCTTAAGTTAGCATCCTTTTATACATAAGGATGTCTAACTTAAGGCTTACAAGTGGGCTAATGGGCTAAAATACATTTGTGGCCCATATTACACATTTAGCTAATAACTACACAAATACAAAGATATTTAATTGGATTGGACACCATAAAATATTCCCAACAATCTCCCCCTTGGTGTTCAATCGTGTTCAATTAGCATTGCAGCGCAGATATCTTTGTCTTTGTGTTTATTCAGCAATGTAGAGGAGAGCATAGATAAAATCTGTTGAGTTGCTCCTCTTTTGTCTTGATCTTCAGTGGAACTCAGCTTCCTTTGTCTTCGTGTTGAACTCGACTTCTTTTGTAATACCCGAGATTAATTTAAGAGGATTAATAGTACTACTCATACCAACAGAGGTGCATCTCCTTTTAAGGGAGCTCATCACCCAAGAACTCCAAAGTTAAGCGTGCTTGCACGGGAGTAGTCTTGGGATGGGTGACCCCCTGGGAAGTTTCTCAGGGCGCGCATGAGTGAGGACAAAGTGCGCGGTAAAGGCTCGTGGTGGTTTGTGGGGACAGTACTAGAGGTTTAGAGTAACTACCTCGGGTCCGTGTGGGGCCCCGGGGTGTTACAGGTGGTATCAGAGCAAACCTGCGACAGTGTACTGACCCGTTAGATATCGGGCGGGCATTTAGCGAGGCAAGATTCTGGGGTTTGATTGAGATTGTTAAGGGCGCAACGAGGACGTTGCGATCCTAAGTGGTGGTGATTGTAATACCCGAGATTAATTTAAGAGGATTAATAGTACTACTCATACCAACAGAGGTGCATCTCCTTTTAAGGGAGCTCATCACCCAAGAACTCCAAAGTTAAGCGTGCTTGCACGGGAGTAGTCTTGGGATGGGTGACCCCCTGGGAAGTTTCTCAGGGCGCGCATGAGTGAGGACAAAGTGCGCGGTAAAGGCTCGTGGTGGTTTGTGGGGACAGTACTAGAGGTTTAGAGTAACTACCTCGGGTCCGTGTGGGGCCCCGGGGTGTTACATCTTTAGAGGGCTTTTTGAAGAAATCCATGCAATCTCCCCTTTGATGTCTTCTTGACAATTTGATCTTTGATGCCGGGGGTTGAGAGACCTTCTGTATCTTGCATGTAGTCCTTGCCTTCCAGAAGTTGCTCTTGATCAGCTTGGATGAAGTCTGGTGACGCCTCTAGAATGAATATTCTTTGGAGAATAGGAGACGTCCATGGAATTCATCTTCAGGACACGAGTATTTGACCTCTGTCTCCTCCACAATGTAGTCTTTTTGACTATTTGGAATGAATGCATTTGAGGAGAACTTGTCGGTGGCACAACGGAACATAATGATTGTTGATTTGTGAGTGTAGCTGACCATTTGATTTGAGTTGTAGAGATAGCAGAGAAGGTGTTGATTTGTGTGATGGAGGAGTGAAGTGTCCCAGAATGATTTGTTCAGTGTTATCAGCATGTGGACTACTCATAATCATGCCATAACAACCATAGTGACATCTACTTTAGATGAACTGTCATCTAAACCAGAGTGTTATCAGCATGTGGACTACTCACAATCAGAGTGACATCTAACAACGATCAGTTTGATCATGCTAAAGTAGATGTCACTCTGGTTATGTATCTGTCAACGATCAGTGTCATCTAACACTGATCGTTTTTTTATCAGCATGATCTGACAGATACTCACAATCAGAGTGACATCTAACATAACGTAGCCCCCTGGGGTCGTTATCAGCATCTAAGAACCGGAGTGACAACCAGAGTGTTATCAGCATGTGGACTACTCACAATCCGTATGAACTGTCACTCTGGTTTTTTTTTCTTCTGTAAAAAAAAAAGTTTGCTCAAATCGGATCACCGAGTCAATAGTTATGCCCAAAACAGTGCGGTGTCGCAGAAAATCTCGAATTTTTGAGTTTTTGAGGAATTTCTTCGAAGTTGAGGTTCTCGATGAAGAATATCGAGAGCAGGTGGATTTTAAACAATATTCTAAGGCAATACCTCGAAATCCTAATCTCGAGATTTAAATCTCGAGATTACAATCTCGAGTTTTAAATCTCGAGATAACAATCTCGAGTTTTAAATCTCGAGATTACAATCTCGAGGTTTAAATCTCGAGATTACAATCTCGAGGTTTAAATCTCGAGATTACAATCTAGAGGTTGCCTCGAAGAATAAAGGCGAAATCCACCTGCAAAACAATCCTCAGAATATCGAAATCTGCAGAATTTCAAAATGTTTGGAACATCGAAAACTTTGGAGTTTCGAAAACCTCATAATCTCGAAAACTTGCTGTTTGAAAAACGTCAGAACATCAAAAACTCCTGAAACATTTATAAGCAGGGAATTATTCAGAAATCCTATAATGTAAAGCTTTGATGAACTGCGAAGAATGTCAAGATTCGAATTATGAGTTCCAAGAAACTGCAAACTTTGAAAGATTCAAAACATCGAGAGATTTTGAAAATCTCGAAATCTTCAGAATGTCGAGATCCAAAATATCGAGATCCCAAATGTCGAAATCCCAAAACTCGAAATTCCAAAAGATTTTCAGAGGCAGAATGTCGAAAATCAGATGTCGAGATATGAATATCGAGATCTAGGATTTCGATAAAGGAGGCCCGGTTTCGAGATTTGATATCGAGATTAGGATGTCGAGTATTGAAATCTCGAGATTTCAAATGTCGAGAAGTAAATCTCGAGATTTGAGATGTCGAGAAGTGAAACTCGAAATATTATTTCGAGAAGTCAAATGTCGAGACCAGAAGTCGAGACCTTAAAATCGAAACCTCGATCTCGAGATTTGGATGTCGAGATCCTCAATGTCGAAATCCTGCAAAATGAAAACATCGATTTTTGAAAATCTGAAACCTGTTCAGAAAAGCCCTGAAAGTCGAGATTCTCCTGTATCAGTTTCAAGCCAAAAACGTTTCTGCAGCAGTGAAAAAAAAGGATTTCGAGATCTCAATGTAGAGATCTTCGAAATATAAAAATTGCAGAAAACGAAAAAAGAGGTATGCTGCTGGATCGGTTTTGAAAGGCGATTCCAACAGTATGATTTTTACAAAATTTCGTTCACAAACAAGATTACAGGAGCAAATCTCTACATATTAGAAAAACAGAAGAAAAGCAGAGCAGTTCTTCGTCAGATCCAAAAAATCGCAGATAGATCCAACCTGTTTCACGCCTCGGCTCTGATACCAATTGTTAAACCCATAATTTAACAAACAACAACCATAGCAAGAAGAATAAGAAGCAGATAAGAAGAAATCGACAAGATTGAAACCAAATCTGGTATACCGTATGAACTGTCCGCTGCTCTCCAAACAGCGGAACAAATCTGTATATCTGTCAACGATCAATGTCATCTAACAAATCTGATTGTGGACATCTAACAACGATCAGTTAGATCATGCTAGCGCAAGAGACGAGATAGAGAGAGATTAGGGTTGCCGCTGCTCTCCTTCTCCAGGGAGAGCAGTGGACAGTTCAGACGGTATACCAGATTTGGTTTCAATCTTGTCGATTTCTTCTTATCTGCTTCTTATTCTTCTTGCTATGGTTGTTGTTTGTTAAATTATGGGTTTAAGAGTTTGCTATGCACAATATTTAAATGAATATCAGTTGGATAGTTTTGATTTTGAATCCATAGGAGTAGAACAGAGTTTTCAAGATAAGTAACCATTTTCAGAAAGTATATCCAAAGTATATATCCTTTGATATAAACATATTTCTTTTGTAGATCTAGCAATTTGAACTCCTAGAATGCATTTTAGTTCTCCTAGATCTTTAATTGTAAACTGTTTGTTTTAGTATGACTTTACAGTTAGAATTTTTTCTCTGTTATTTCCAGCAAGTATATATCATCTACTTACAATAACAAGGCAGTAAAAGAATTTTCAGCAACTATAGTAAAAAAAAGAAAAATCAGTTTGTGATTGAGTGTAAACAAACAGTTTAAGAGCTTACAATAATACCATGTTGGTGATGCTTGCTTTACACAATTACACCATATAAACTTTTAAGTAGTTTAGAGACGCTCACGCTCTTATCACTTTCGTATATATATTTTCTGGCAAATCACCATGTAAAAAGGTATTGTTTACATCTAGTTGATGTAAAAAGTAATATTTTGCAGCAACAATGGCTTGAAGAAGTCTAATAGTTGTGAGTTTGACTACATGTGAAAAAGTATCAAAATAATCAAGTCCATGTTCTTGGGTATAACCATTTGCAACTAATTCAACTAAAATTCAAGTTTTATTATCTTCAAGAGATTTAATTTCATTATTCATTGATGTTTTCCATTCGGGAATTTTAACAGCTTGATTATAAGATTTTGATCCACTTATCTTAGAGACAAAAATTGTGAAACAATTATAAGATAAATCTAGTCTCTGATATGTGATATTGTTGGAATAATTGGCCCAATATTGGATCGGCCCAATACCCCATAAGGAAGAGGCAAGAGTAACGGCCATAAGGGGCACCCGACGCTCGTCGTACATTATGCGACGCTCGTCGCCCATACCTTGGCCCATTGAAGCCAAGCGATCAAATAGGGAGCCCGTCGCGGAGACGCTCGAGGAGCACCGAGCGGCATCCTGGCCATGCGCTTACTTGGATCCGGGATTAGGAGGCCTTCGAATACGAATGTCTAAGACATTTGGCAGGAAAGAAGGAAAATGCGGGAAATGCATTAAATGCACTAGATATGCAAGATGTAGTGATTTGGAAGCTAGCCACTCATGATCCTCCACACCACCACTACCACCTACCCAATGGTAGTATAAATAGTACTACCTTCGTCCCCCTATTATTGTCTCATTTCTCCATTTTTTGATGTCCCTCTATTATTGTCTCATAAAAGATGTGAAACTTCTCCTTGGCTGCTTCTGCAAAAGATACCGGCGGGTACACTTTGGGCGAAAAAGTTTTGTTTTGCCGTCAAATACTTTCTTAAGAAATTAACATGCGTAATTTTTGTAATTGAATAAAGATTAAAATAAAAAAAAAAAAAGAAAAAGAAAGAACTAAATAAGGAAAAACGTAAAAGCAAGAAAAATAGAACAGAAAAGACAAAAGAGAAAAACGTGTAATAGATTAGCAGCACCAAACTGGAAAAGCAAAGAAACAGAAAAGCAAAAAAAGAAAAACGGAAAAGGTTAAACCAATGAGCGTAGCTCAGATGCGGACTCGACGATGGTCTGGGAGTTTCGGGTGTACGGTATAATTTGCGATACGTAGTACATTTTTTTAATAATGCATTAATTGTTGGAAAATATTCCATTTAAATGCCCTTGGACCATTTATATACTTTAATATATATTGGGGACATTTATGTCTTACCATTAAGTTTGACATATGACATATTTGATCCTTTTATTTATGTATAGTTAACATATGATGTGTATGTTTTAACTTTAAATAATATGTAAAGGACCAAATGGGTTTCTTTTTGATACAAAATACAAAAGGCATTCAACCATTTAATTCTTAAGACAAAACGAAGGAACAGGTTCATTCCTAAGGGTCTCAAGAACACCTATAATAAGAGACCCAAGGGAGAACGGTTCAATCCATCAAAACCATTTTGTATGTTGAGAATCTAAACGTCATGGCTTCATCATCTTCTACGACACCATCAACGTTCGATTTCTCCTCAATCGGTTAGTGTTCTTATTGTTTGATTCTATGAATTTTATAGTGAGATTAGATCTTGTTCGGTATCTCACTTATGTGATAAATTTTCGAAATTTTCTATCGTATATGATTCATCTTTTCCGCCGCCGTCACGTATGTTAGTTCTGCTGGGTTCTGAACTGATTGTTTTCCGTTTAATACTTCGTTCTCTGCGGCTGCGTCTAATGGCGTATGCAATTCTAAATTATTAATTTATTTTTCAATTGCCACACCACTTAACCGGCCATGCCAGTAGCACAATTCACACATGATTCAATCACTTTTGATTGGAATGAGTTTATTTGCCTCTCGGACGTTTTGGTGGTAGAATATGAAACCATGTTTTGATTATGTTTACAGATGTGTTTAAAACTAAAATTCACTTTTGTTTGACTCAACCGTTTTGTATGCTGTTTCGGTTGTTTAACACAAAACTGAAAATAAAAAACGAAGCATGTGATTCATATATGACACGTTATTCTTCATTTTAAATTCAATTTTAATATGAATCCATTTCTCTGCACTTTGGTTAATCAAGATAAAGTTGAAGTATTTATAATTTTCCGTATGTATGAACGTGCAATGTTCAATCTGTTAGAAGTGCAAATAACTTTGTTTGCATTTTGTTGATTAAGATCATCATTAACGCACAAATGATGCATCGGTTATGTTTTGAGGAAAGTGTCAGTTTGGTACATCAAGTTGTAAGCGGGGGAGTAAAGAGTAATTTAAAACGCTAAAGCAGTTTTGGTACATCAGTTTGGTTCATCATTGTGCAATTGGGATTCAGAGATACATTAAATCGTCAAAGCAGTGTTAATTTAGTCCATCGGGCTATTAGGGAGTTTAAAACGCCTAGGTGGCAAGTATTAGCCGTTTGTGTGGTAAATAGTGGCATCCAAGTCAGCTTGAGTAGGTGACCTCTGACCTGGGCATGACAAGACCTTAACCCGACCCGGTGACCTCGGCCTATTCGCAAAAACATCCTCCATGAAGTCAGCTTCGAAAGACCTGTTTTCTTGAACCCTAAGAATCACCAATGGCTGGGAGAATGAGAACGTGAGCAGATTCAGCAGCCATGCACTTAGCAGACACGAAGAACGCCTGGAGAAACTGTTCTGGCCATGTCATGTTCCAGTTTAGAGCGGTAATAACAAAACTCATTCTCTGATCGCAGAACTTGCTGAATTCCTCACTGTAATACGTTGTCCCCTTCTTCAACACTTGGTTCCAGCTAAGGTCTCTCAAGGCCACAAACGAGGAAAATTGCGATCGGCGTTCTTCTTCGGTGTTGAAGTGCTTTGGTGAGCCGTTCTTCACGAAAGTGCAAATGGTACAAAACCGCCTTTGAGTACTTCAAATTTAGGGTTAATCTATACAGTTGAAGGAGAATATTCATGTTATCAGACAAATTAGAACCGTCTGTTTCTTCAATTCGAGAAATTAGGATTTCGCAGAATTGCCTAACTATCACCGGGTCGGGGTTAGTTTGCCATATCAGTAATCCGTCTGCCACCTAGGCGTTTTAAACGCACTAATAGCCCGATGGACTAAATTAGCAATGTTTTGGCGATTTAATGTACCTCTGAATCCCAATTGCACAATGATGTACTCTTTACTCCCCACTTACAAGTTAATGTACCGCACTGACACTTTTCTGGACCATTAGTATTGGAAATTGCATGGAATAATGCTAATTGCATATTACAACCATCTCAAATGCATATACACAATCAACAACTTTATTTATGAATATATGCAATTCATTCTAAAAAAAGTTTGGTTGTAAGACTAATATTTCACAACTTCAATTTTATTCCATATTCAAAGTTATAATATGGATTATTGACTAATTATCTTAGTATTAAATTCAATGATCGACCCAACGGAAGATTATTGATTTGACTATATTAAAAAATCACATGCGTTTTCTTTTAACAAATCCAATGTGTGTTATTTGATAACTTATGTAATGAAATTTAAGCATAAATGAATGTGTTATATTTCTGTCCAAAGGTTATATATGACATATTTTGCAGCCTAATTTTAATTTTTAATATCATAATGTTTGATGATAGTTAGCATTAGCCAATGCAATGTTAGTTATTAAACACGATATGAACTTTTCCAATTATTTGGTGTTGATAATAGGCTTATTTACTAATAATTGATATGCCTTATTGTATTCCCTTATATGTTATAATTAGCTTCTATGATTACCTGAGCTAAAATTTTTATTTGAGCATCTACTATTACCCCATACAATTATGGGATAGAACCTCTAAATGGTACAAACTTCTGAACATGGAGGGAATCTGTAAAACTCTCACTTGGCATGATGGACCTCGACCAAGCACCGAGAATGGATCCACCGGATGCTCCTAACGCTGAGAGCACTGTGGAGCAGAAGCGTTCTTATGAACAGTGGGAGAGGTCCAACCGAATGTGCCTCATGGTGTTCAAGAATTCCATATCTGTAGCTATTCGCGGAGCCATTCTTGATTCCGAAAATGCGAAAACCTACCTAGAATATGTGGAAGAACCGTTTAAGGGCACCTCTAAAGCACATGCTAGTACCCTAATTCTCAAAATGTTGACTAGTAAGTATGATGGAGTGAGTGGTATTCGTGAGCACATCATGAAAATGTCTGATATGTCCAATAAGCTCAAAAGTATGGACATGGAGGTCAATGAAGGTTTCCTCGTACATTTCATAATGACTTCTCTACGTGCATCCTATGGTCCGTTCAAGATCAATTACAACACGCATAAAGAGAAGTGGACAATGAGCGAGTTGATTGCTATGTGCGTTCAAGAAGAAGAGCGCCTTAAAGTTGAAAGACCAGATGTTGCTCATCTCACCACCACAAACTCAAAGAAAAGGAAAGGCAATCGTCAAGGATGAAAAGGTAACATTTCTAAGGTCCCAAAAATAGGTGCAAACGTGAGCTCTGGTCCCTACTGTAAGTTTTGTCGCTTCAAAGGGCATTACCAGAGGGAGTGCTCTAAGTTTAAGGCATGGCTAACTAAGAAAGGTAACTTAACCACTTATGTAATTTATGTGTCATTGAACACATCGATTCCCCTTAATACTTGGTGGATTGACTCCAGTTCAATGGTTAATGTTTCAAACACATTGCAAGGATTCCATTCAATCCGAACATTGAGAAGAAAGCAAAGAGTGATTAAGGTGGGCAACGGAGAAGAATTAGAAGTGAAGGCCATTGGAACTATCTCATTAATTTTAGAGAGTGGCTTCATTCTTCATCTTTATGATGCTCTTTATGTGCCTAATATTACTCGTAATTTAGTGCCTGTATCGAAACTAAGTGCTGATGGTTTTACATTTAATTTCGTATACAATAAAGTGACAATAAGCTTGAACTCAAATGTAATAGGATTTGGTAGCATAGAGGGAAATCTCTATAAATTATGCTTAGATACTAATTTTATGGAATCCCCATTGTCATTTAATATAACTGAAAATCCTTGTAAGATAAAGAGAGAATTGGAATCGTTGTCCAATTTGTGGCATCAAAGGTTGGGCCACATATAACGAGATCGAATGATAAGACTCGTGAAAGACGGAATTCTGTCAAATCTTGACTTATCAGATTATGACAAGTGCGTGAAGTGTTTGAAAGGGAAATTGTCTAAAAAAATTAATAAAGGCGCCACACGAAGCACCAGTTTGTTAGAATTAATACACACCAATATTTGTGGGCATTTTCCCGATTCCATTAGTGGTCATAAGTCCTTTATTACTTTCATAGATGATTACTCGGGCTATATGTACCTATATTTGATTAAGGAAAAATCCGAATCACTAGATATGTTCAAGGCTTATAAAGCCAAAGTTGAAAATCAACTTGATCGAAAGATCAAAGTAGTGACATCGGATAGGGGTGGTGAGTTCTATAGCCGACACATTGATATAGGTCAAGCTCCCGGCTCTTTCCATGAATTTTGTAAAGACCACGGGATCATAAACCAATATACCATGCCTGGCACCCCTCAACAAAATGGAGTTGCCGAAAGGCAGAATAGGACTCTTATGGATATGGTCCGAAGTATGTTGGCAAACTCAAATCTTCCCCAATTCTTATGGATCGAGGCCCTAAAAAAAGAAACCCACATTTTGAATAGAGTGTCATCTAAATCTGTCCCTAAAACTCCATGTGAGCTATGGACAGGAAGGAAACCTAGTCTACGGTACCTAAAAGTGTGGGGTTGTCCGGCTGAAGCAAAAGTGTATAATCCTCAATTGAAGAAACTTGACATGAGAACCATTAGTTGTTCCTTTATTGGCTATCTCGAGAGATCTAAGGGATATAGGTTCTATTGCTCATCTCATACTACCCGAATTGTCGAGACTCGACATGCTAAAATCCTTAAGAATACTAACATTAGTGGGAGTAGTTGTGGTTCAAACTTTTGTGATGAACTTCAAGAAGGTACTGGAATAAATCCACTTATTATATTGCCCATTGCACCTAACGCCTCACTTAAAGATCATAGTGAAAGTCATACGCCTCATAATAATGATGCAACAAGTCAAGAGGTGAATGAAACTGCAATCAATGTTGAACCAAATCCATCGGTTACGAAATCCCAGAAAATCAGCAACCCTTAAGGAGATCTCAAAGGGTTAGACGCCCCACAAATTTTGACGAATATTTGATATATTTAAATGAAGAAGCCGACTTTGATTTAGGGAAAGTCGTAGATCCTATATCTTTCCTTGATGCCATTAATTGTGACCAATCGACTCATTGGAAAGAATCCATGAATGAAGAACTTCTTTCCATGGAGAAGAACAATGTTTGGGAATTTGCTGAATTACCAAAGGGTCAAAAGCCCATTGGAAACAAGTGGGTCTTTAAGACTAAATTAGACCCAAAGGGAAACATTGAAAGATATAAGGCAAGATTGGTCGCTAAGGGCTACACTCAAAGGGAAGGTGTAGATTATCAAGAGGCTTTTTGAC